GGAGTTTAAGAGAAGAAGCCATGTCTCTAGCACCCAGCACAGGGCCTGGCACACATTAGATGTCATGCTCCTGCTTCTTAAATGCTGAGAATGAAGGAGGGCACCAGAAGGGCCCAGGCCCCTTCCCAAAAAGGCCCCAGTTCCTAGGTCTGATCCTGCTTGGTCTCCATGACTAACCCTGTCTTGCTATCTTTTTCTGTTGTAAAGGCCATTTTCCGAACAAGGCGATGCCCTCAGCAGGAATGCTGCCATGGCTCCAGGGGGTCTTCTGCAATGTGAACAATCCTTGTTTTCAAAGCCCCACTCCAGGAGAATCTCCTGGAATTGTGTCAAACTATAACAACTCCATGTAAGTGTTGAGATCCTTGCCATGCGGGGGAGGAAGTTACACACCCCTTCATGTGCTGGAGTGCACACATGTGTGCACTGAGCATGTAGCACTGAAAGAGTGTTCTTGTGGTTTGCTGAGCCCCTAACCTCTTAAGAGCAGAGCAGTTTTCCTCTTTGGAACATTCTGTTAACTGTCAGGGCACTTGGGGAGAAATCTCCAAGCTAAGGCCATGTGCACACAATTTCTTGGTCCTTATATCCCCAGGATGTGAACTGGAGTCCGACGGCAGCCTGCTGCTGAAATGTGTCCACTGCCTTCTGGTCATTGACCTACTTGGGTGGAGTGAGTCACTGTGGGAGAAAAACTCAGTTTTTTTCCCTTCACCCTGATCAACCTGGACAGATCTCTGTTCCTTTAAAAGCTTTCTTGGACATCTAAGAGCTAGGAAAAATGTCAGGGAGCATTGAGAAAGCAAATGAAGTCAGGTTTACAAAGTGAAGTTTACTTCTTGGTAGAAAAAGACAATTTCCAAATCCTCTGTTGCAATTGCCATCTGCCCCCTGGAGTGGTGAGATCTTAGAATATGGCTTAAGCACAGTGGCTCTTTACTGTGGGCCTGAAGGCCAATCTGGAAAGCTGATAAAAACCAATGACCCCTCTCCCAAGAAAAACGGCCACACACCAAACATTACACTGTACATCTGATTTCAGGAAATTGTGGATGCCAGGTTAATAGCCTCTGGTCTAGGGTCAAAATTCAAGTCCACTCCCACAGGAAGAGGGTTTACCTTCGGAATTCCCTTTCAAAGCACTGGGAGAACATGATGGGGTCATATCCTAGAGACAGAGGCCTGGGGTGTAGACAGGGCCATCCCTTACCCACTGTGCTGACCTTGAGCACCACCTTGTGCAGCCCATACCTGAAGGCCACGTGCAAGGGCCTGTTGGGGAGCAGGCTTTCCCCTACCTGTATAAACACTAGGCCAGGTGAAAACAGATATCTGGTTACTTTAGTTTTTTCCTTGGAGGAGCTCAGTATAATTCCTCCAGGAGAAGCCTGCTTTTAGACTAAAAAGAAAAAATTTCTGATAGATCAACCTAATGATTGGAGGTGGCCTTCCCCACTGTGAACAAATTATGGCTGCTTGTGCCGTACATGGCAGAGTTGAGTAGTTGTGACAGAGACTGTATTATCTGTAAGCCTGTAATTTTTATGTGTTTGTTGACCCCTGGATTACAGGATGATAGAAGAGGAAACATCTGTCTTCCTAGCAAAGTCAAGGAAGTAGCATTTAGCAGTGCTCATATTGCTGCAAGCACTGCCTTGTAGTTTTAGTTTACAACTGCACTTTCAGCTTAAAAACACCTGCCCATCCAGAGAGATCCTGTGGGGTCACAATGTGGGATCAGGGAGGCCTGGAGATAGCTTAGTGGAGGCTGCATGGCACTTTGGTGGGAATGGCCCTGGCAGTGTCTGTAGACATTATTGGGGAAAACTGAGGGATGGGAGTTGGAGAAGGGGGCTCCAGACTCTAGCTGTACTTGGCATTTGAACCCGGAAAGTTGGGTTTCATGTTTTGCACACAGATTATGCATGAAATATTGGCTTATTAAAGGTTCTTTTGCTTGCAAGGCAGAGAAACCTACTCAAACAATCTTAAACCCCAGAAGAAAATGTATGAATTGGATACTAGACCTTCTCACAAAGCCAAGGACAGCAAGGCAGGGCTCAGGAAGGGCAGACCAAGACCTGGAGTGCTGTCAGGAGCTGCTTCCTCAACTCTCTTCCATCTGGGCCTGCAAGGCCTGGCCTCTGTATCCACTCTATTCACCTCTCTCCATGGACCAGTCTCCCCTGCTCCTCAGTGCCTGGGCTGCCACTGCTTATGCAATTCACAGTACCACAGCCTGGGCAATCAGAAGCCCAACTCTGAACACCATCCAAATTCCTGGGAACAAATCAGGTTGGCCCAGCTTTATTACCCATCCCATCACCCTTGGCAGAGGTATACATGTGCATGCGGGCATGTGTGTGTTCAGGGAGGTCCTTATGGATGAAGCATGGTGGTCAGACCCTACCTGTGTGAATGGGTGGAAGGACAGGTCTCGGAGAATTGAGTAAAAACTGGGAAAAAACCTCCAGTGATATCTACAAATGCCATCCTGTTTAAGGCTTCTTTGGGCAAGAGACACACAGAGCATGGGATTGAGAGGCGACCAGGCCCTGCCAAAACTGGGAGACTGAACAGATCACCCACCATCCCTGTCTATTAGCCTCTATGTGCAAGGAAGTAAAATGGTCTCTTTCTCCTGCCTTGGCAGTACTGTAAGGATACTCAATGTAGTAGTTAGGTCAGGCACATGGTATCTTTAAAAATAGCATGAGATATTACTATTATAAAAATAACAGCTATTTCCTTATTAATGAGGCTTTGTCCTTACAGCTTGGCAAGGGTTTATCGAGATTTTCAAGAACTCCTTATGAATGCACCAGAGAGCCAGCACCTTGGCCGTATTTGGACAGAGCTCCGCATCTTGTCCCAATTCATGGACACCCTCCGGACTCACCCGGAGAGAATTGCAGGTAAGTGGGACTCCAGTGCTCTCAAGCATCACTTGCCTCACCCATGGAGAGACTGAAGATATAGGAAAGAGCAGGGAGTTGTGGTGAAAAAGACACTAGCAGAGGCAGGAAGGGATGGGCTCTAGAGGCCGCTTGAGCATCACCTTGGTGAAGACGCCTCTTCCTCCACAGAAGCCTGGAAGGTAGAAAATTGGGAAGGAAGGCAGGAAAGGTCTCATCCAGTTAAGTCCAGAGACAGAAAGAAGGCTAAGAGAGATGGCGCTATGGGAAGTATGAGGCTAGGTCAAGGGCTAGAAGCAGGGGGAAACGGGTTTGCAGAGTTTGGTAAAGGTATGAAGCAACCCTCACAGAGTTCTGGCCGGGGAGCTAACCAGGAACATGAAGCAGCATGACCAACTATCATTAAGGAGCCAGGGAGGTCAGAGACCACGTGTTATCATGACATAAATATGCATAATTGTACTATTTCTCCCAGTAATATTCAGCATCCAGGCCCTGAGGCAGAGCAAGTGGAGAGTGGGTGATGCAGGGCTGAGGGTGTGTAGGGAGGCACCACAGAAGGTCAACAGGCAAGGACTGGACTACATGCATCAGGTCCAGGCTGCCCAAGAAGGATGAGAAGGCAGAGGCACTGAGATGGATGGAGGGGAAATGGAGAGGCATGGGAATAAAAGTCTCAGTGGGTGCCAGGACCCTGTTAAGATGACTGAGAAAATGAACAAGATGAAAAGATTGATGGCTGTGGACAGAAAGTGAAATATGTGAATTCAGGATTTCCAAGACAGGGTGGGTGATGGCTGGCCCCACATGTGGTCATGGTGAAGTTGAGCGGAGGTGCAGGTGCATGGTGAGGGGAAGGAGGAAATGGGAGGCAAGGATGTTGGCCCTATGTGGACACCATGGTTGTGCAGGAAGATGGCAGGAGCCAGACACCAGAGTAGGAGAGCCATGTGGAGTCAGGAACAGTGAAGAGGAAGGATGGAGGGGCTCCCTCTCCTGTGTCTCCCCTTCCAGGAGAAGAACAAGAAACAACCTAAGAATAATGAGTGTGAGTGGGTGTTGTGTGCTATCGCATGTGTAGTAGGCGCCTCTGCAATGGCCAGAGGGACGACATGGCAGCTGGAGCCCACTCACAAGAGCAGAGGAAATGAGTGCTCGTGAGGAAGTAAAGCCCCCCGGAAATCCAGGGGTTGTGGGTAGAGTGTGCCTTCTGAAAAAAGGCTGCTAGTCGGGGGGAGATTGCTCAGGAACAGGGCTCAGAGGCTGCCAAGGTAGCCGTTTGGGGCTTCCGGGAGATGTATGCTCCTAGGATTAGGGGGTTGACTTTGAGAATGACTTTAGAGGTTGACAGAGATGAGGAAGGGGTCACCAAGGGGTCTACCAGGGGATGGGAGAGGCTGTATCGATAGAACAGCTTCTGCTGCAGGTTTCAAACAAGACATGTGGGAGAATAGTTGAAATCAGCCCCGGAGTCTCCTCCCCGTGCGTTTGGGCAGCTCCTTCGACATTCAGCTGATTTTCAGTGCCTCCTGTGAGCCAGGCACTGGGCTAGTCTCTGGGGGTGGAGAGATGACTCAGGAGAACGCCAGCCCTCGGAGGGCCCACGGGGCAGACACTGAGAGATGAGTGAGCAGAAAATGACCACAGCACTTGCGGGCCAGTGGAGGGAAGGAGGGGATTCAGGAGCACAAGAGAGTCAACAGGGGAAACTTCTCTGAGGAGAATCTGATCCTCCTCCAGCCAGCACCGTCTGAAGCCTTTTCTTCCCATCTAAGCAAGGACAGGCCTATGACTAGATTGGTGCGTCAAGATGCTCAAGTACGTTCTCATTGTTTCGAAACGAATAAAGCATAGACTTTATGTAGTCACTTCTACAAACCGCGTTACAAACACTGCATTCTTTGCTGCCCTGGAAAGAAAATTACTGAGCTCAAGTTTGAAGAACCTTATACGTTATGAGTACAATTACCATTTTAATAATAAGAACCCCCCCTTCCCTTATGCACCAACCAGAAAGTGGTGTTTTTCCTAGTTTAAACAAGCAGATGCAGATGTGGGCTGGCCGGCGCCTGGCGGGCCACATACCTCACGCCTCCAGTGGGCTCCATGGTGAGGCAGACATCTCACCGAAGTGTCTGATCATCAGGTTGAGTCCTGCTACGAGGAAGTATGAAGGAAGTCATTTCAAACCACAATTTCTCTGTGGTTTTACAACGTGTATATGAGAACCAAAATCACTACGTCTTAACCCCAGAGCCGGACTGATTTTGAGTGGCACGCAGGCAGTTCCTTCTGCAGGCTTCGGCCTGTGGGGAGAAGTCCCTACCAGAGCAAATCTGGAAACGAGGGCTCAGGAAAGGCCGGCCTCGGCTCCCTGGCAACGGAGGCTCTGCCAGATCCCTGACCTTAGAGGCTGTGAGAGGGGACAGGGGTCCATCCCCAAGTCAGGGACACTGTCTCTGAGGAAACCCCAGGCCAGGTACTGAAGGGCACTGCCAGGAACACAGACTGTTGCACTCTGTGGAGAGTCAGGGGGCGCCACTCGCCGCGAGCACCGACTCCTCAGGCCCGCGCTGCGGAAGAGCCCACCTCTGAAAGAGAGCGGGGGGGACGGGGACTGGTGGGGCGCGTGCTTCGGCACAGCCACCTGGGAAGGTGTGCCGCTGGTTGACCCAGGCAGCGTTTTTCTTTCGTGGCAAACCTGTAGTACTGCATTCTCAGCAGGGGAGGATTAATGGTAAAAGACTAGGTTGGAGCCCCCGTCCCTCTCCCCCCAAGCAAGCTCTGTGGGCTCTCAATCATCTTTAAAACACCTTCTTCCCGAGAGCCTTCTACATTCTCCTGGCTCCCCTCCCACCTCCACTCTCAGCTCCCGGGCCTCAGCAGCCCCCACCCGCCCTCCTCTAATCTTCCCAGAGAAGGGAACAAGAAGAACCACATTTTAAACAAAATGTGTTTTTCTTTCCTCAGACTCCCAGTTCACATTTCTCCCTCAGGAGTCTAGGGAAGCTTCTGTCTGGCATCGGCCTCCTCTTCTCCCGGGGCCCCGCCCTCTCAGGTGTACCGAGAGCCAGTGCGCTCCCCCTTGCCCCCAAGGCAACGGCTGCCCTGTCACCTGGGAGGTCTGGTGTGCCAGGCCTGGGCAACATCGCTCCCAGCTTTTCTTGTTTTGCCCCTTCTCCCCACCGAGATATTTGTATGTAAGGTCAGGTAAGTGAGTTAAAGAATAACAAAGAGATAAACTTTCAAATGGGGTCCTGACTCTCAGGTCAAGACAGCAGTTATTTACTGAATGCCTCTTGTCATTCAACAGACATTTATTGAGACCCTGATTGGACGTCAGTCTTTCATGCTGGGTGTCAGAGAGAGGTGACAACAAGGGCTTCCATCTGTGCACCCAGCATTGCTAGGTTCAATAAAAAGTATAATAAAAGCAGGAGCCACAGCCCTCAACTCTCAAGAGATCTCCCATGTGTGTGCGTGCATGTGTATGTGTGTGTGCATGTATGTGTGTGTGCGCGTGTGTGTGCATGTCTGTGTTGGGGATGGTGTTGCTGGTATGAGAGTGTATGAAAGAGTAATTGGGCTGTGTATGAAAGCGTAATTGAGAGAAGAACAATGGAACTGGCACCCAGGGACAGGAGGAAAAGCAGGAGGGCTGGGTTTGGAAGATAGCTGGATTTGTTTTTGAAAAGGAGGGAAGACTAGAATAAAAGAGCAGCCCCTCTCAGAGCCCTCCTCCTCCCTTGGGGGCCTGTGTCCAGCTTTCCCCAAAGTCTTTGGATTTTTTCTATGCAAAAGGGAATGACAGTGAGCCAAACTCTCAAGGCACTCATTACTGTGAGAGAGGCCACTGTGCCACTGTGTGGTTGAACTTCAGAACCAGCTTCCCCTGCCCTAGCTGCATGGACAGGCCTGTGGGGCTGACCCAAGATCCTTCCAGGGGAAACTAGCCGCAACATGAATCCTGACAAAGCCCTGTTGAGGGAAAGGCACAACCTGGAGATGAGCAGGATGGCTGTCCAGCACTCAGGGGCAGGCCTCTTGGCCACTTGGAGAAGGGAGAATTTGGAGAGGAAGAAGATGGGATGCTGTGGAATCGGGACAGAAAGAACTGGAACATAAGATGGTTAAAGTTAGTTAGAGAAGAACTGGGAGATAAACAGTCGCCCAGGCCCCTGAAGAACTGGGGGTGAAGAGATTGGCATTTTCATGTACCCCAGTGCTTTCCCTTCATGTTGAAGTCCCTTAATAGAGATCCAGGCCCATAAGGCTCTTCTCTGGCCAGAGCCTCATGAACTATAGCAGCAGCGGGGTTGAGACTGAGCGTTGGCCCTGGAAGATGGCAGAGGAGGAGGGTGCTTGTGTGAATCTCCCGAGAATGATACTAATTTGATTATAACGAGCATTTATTGAGTGCTGTTTTCAGGCCTGGGAGCTAAGCACTTCACATTCCTCACTTCATGTCAACAATCCTATGAGGTAGATGTGGAAAGTACAGACACACGGAGAGGTTCAGTCACTTGCCCCAAGGTCACCTTAACTGTTAGGTGTTCTTTATGCCTCCTTATGAAGAAACGCTGCCTCCCACAGGTGTTGAGAGGAGCTGGAGGGAAGGTGATGGGCTCATCAGGCAAGCCCAGGCAGTGTGCCTGGCTCTCTTCTTTCTACATGGAGCTTTTCTTGCCCTGAATGGCCCCATCTCATTTCTTCTAGTCCATGTCAGTCCCCTGAGCATCTCAGCCCAAGCTGAGATGAAAGAAACACCCAGAAGGGTCCTCTACCCCGTGACAACTGCATTGTGGGAAGAACATGTGTCTCCTCCAATTCTAGATCGGGGTTTTTCAACCTCAGCTCTTCTGACACTTGGGGCCAGATAACTCTTTGTGTGGGGGAAGGAGGAGTGTCGGGGTGTCCTGGCCTTGCAGGATGTTTAGCAGCATCGCTGGCCTCTACCCACCAGCACTTCCCCAGTGTTGACACCCAGAAATGTCTTTAGGTCTTGCCAGATCTTTCCAGGAGGATGAGATTGCCCTGTTCCAGCTCCCCAGCCCCACCTCAATGAGAAGCACTGTCCTAGACCAAACCCACAAATCATCTGACACCCGCACCTAGCTCCGGCTTTTTCTTACTAAATTGGGCCCAGCTGCTTCAGCAGTCAATGTTATGACTGTGTTGGGGACAGCCCACTGACAAGAGCCTCACCTCTAGGGGCTCCCAGAGACCCCAAGAACAGAGCCTTCCTCTGAGAGTCAAGTTAGAAGTGTTTCTAATCGACTCTAGCTATTTTCCCATTTGTGACCCATTTCCCCTTGAACACCCTGTTCTTTCTCTTATTCATATGTAGGAAGAGGAATACGGATAAGGGATATCCTGAAAGATGAAGAAACACTGTCACTATTTCTCATTAAAAACATTGGCCTCTCTGACTCAGTTGTCTACCTTCTCATCAACTCTCAAGTCCGTCCGGAGCAGGTAGGTGGACGTCACTGGCCGGTGGTCCCTGGAGGGGAAGGGGAAGCACCCAGCCTGAGAAAGGCAAAAAAGATGCTGGCTTTTTTCTTTTCATTACTTGTGTTCACATTCAGAATCCATCACTTAATGCCCTGTATTTAGAAAAATACCAGGCACGGGGGAGGGTCACTTGAGATCATGATCATTTTCATCACAGGACTCACAGGAAGCTGCACACATCCTGGCAACCTTAAAACATCTCAGGTTTTTATAACTGGAAGGAATCTTAGAGATCATGGGACACAACCTCCTCTTTACAGATGAAGAAACAGAAGTCTATTCATTTATTAATCAAATATTTAGGGACAGTTGTAGGTACTAGAGTACAGTGTGAACCAGACAGACAAAACCCCAGGCCAGGAAGTTTCCATTCCAGTGGGGCTGTAGGCGATGCTCACGTGAACAGAGGCTCTGAAGTGTGTCTCCTGGCTGTGATTGGTGCTGCAAGGACAATCTGGCAGGGTCAGGGGTTAGAGCGGGATGGAGGGGCTGGTTTAAGGGGGATGCTCAGTATTTGAGCAGAGTTGTCTATCAGCCACACAATAACAGAGAGAATAGTTCCAGGCTGGGAAGCCACCAGTGCACCTTCAACAGCAGAAGGTGACAAGTGCTTAGGTGGCGTTTCGAGGCTACAGAACCTGAGATCCTGCAGAAGAGCCCCCCTCTGCTTTCCTTGACCGCTTCCTTCTCAGCACCAGGCAAACTCCTTCTTCTATCCCCTGGCACATTTCTGATCTGTGTATATGCCTCTAATTTATCTCACCTCTTTTTAATTAAAATCGCCTGTATTTATGCAGAACATTCTTACCACTAACTCATGACTTGCACATCCCTTAGCTCCCTTATTCCTCACAACAATCCTGAGGTGGGTCCAACAGAGAGGGAGACTTCAGCATCTGGTGATGGGGTGATTTGTGCACAGATACAGGACTAGAAATTATCAGAGCCAGATGGAATCCAGATCCTCTCAATCCTAATCCAGTTTCTTACTCCAGGCCAGTGGCTTTCAAAGCCCAGAGACCAGCAGTGTCAGCAACATATGGGGACTGGTTAGGAATGCAAATTCTTAGGCCCCACTCCAGGTGAACTGAGTCCAAAGCCCTGGGTAAGGCCCAGCAATCTGTGCTTAACAAGCCCTCCAGGTGATTCTGCAGGCTCAGGTATGAGAGCTGCAGCTGTCCTCTGGGCCTTCTGAGCTCCCCACCCAGCTTCTTCAGTGTGATAAACACAGCTAGAATGCAAGATGTGTAGCAGCTGATATCCCAGATACCCTCCCGATTCCCTGGTGGCTGGTCTGGTCCTCCTCCAGACTCTAAGAGAGAACGAGACATAAACAGAACTTCAGAGCCTGTTTCAACCCTGAGATCAAGGTCTGCACAGGGTGCTGTCTGAGTCCAGAGGAGTGAGGGACCCCACCCCACCTGGTCAGCACTGCTCCTGGAAGCAGGTTCTCACACTGGTTCCCTGCACAGCAAAGGAGCCCATACCTGCTTTTCTGGCTTCTCAGACCCTGAGGTTTTCAGTGAAACTAGACAAGGGAACCGAGGGTCAGCCTGGAAGCAGTCTGAGCTTGGCACCTGCAGTGCCCAGGCCCTGGGGCTGTGAAACTCCAGCCAGGCCCTGTTTAGCTTCCCCTCCCACCCCCACTGTGGGGGTGCTATTGGCACCGATGGATCATTTTCCCCTTTTCGTTCTCTTCAGCTCATAATACTCGAGTCCTGACAATGTCTGTCATGACTTCCAGTTAGTAATAAAAGGGAGATGGTGATAAGGGCAGGAATTTTGGGGAAATTTCTTTCCAGTTCCTTACTAACGTGACATTTGGATCTCTAACACTGTGCTTCTGGCATCAGGGCTGAGGACTTTCATGTGGGAGAATGCAGGCTGGGGTCACCAGGTTGTGCCTTTATTTCGTGTTGCTGGCTCCAATGAGCTAAATACTCCCCTGATTAGCAAACTCTGAGCCATCTGCATTTCGCAGAGGCACGTTCTAGATGACCCAGCCCTCCCTGCCCGCTTCCCAGGATGCTTTGCTTCGTGGGCTCACCTGTCTTCTAGCTCCTGGAGGTATGTCCACCTCCACCCAGCTTCAGGGCTTCTTATCAGCACTGTCCCCAGAACTGTCCATCATGATGGCAACATTCTTTCTGGGCACTGGCCAACATGGGAGCTCGCCTCTTTGTTGTTGCTCATGGTCGTTGAACATCAGGACTGGATACCCCTCCTGGTCCTTTCTGCCTGGGGTCTGAGCACAGTTCAGAAAGAACCTCATCATCCCCTCTCTCTAGGGAATTATTAGGAGATGACAGGGGCACAGTTCTCTGGCTCACCCCTTACCCCACCCCGACCCCCAGCCCAGTAAACTCCTGGACATACTTCAAGGCCCAGCTCAGATGTTGCCTCCTCAGTGAAATTATAAACCTACCCTTCTTTGTCCTGCTTTTTCCCTCTTCCTTACTCACTGGAGAGCTAACAAGTGATGGTTAAGCTCTGGGTTCAAATCTCACAAGGCCATACACTTAGCTGTGTGACTCAGACAAGTTAATTAACTACTGTGCCTCTCATTTCCTCATTTGTAAAATGGAAATAGTAGAAGTGCCTAACACCCATAGCAGTTGTGGAAGTTAAAAAAATAATATATGTGAACTGTTGGAACAGTACCTGACACATAGTAAACACTCAATAAATATTAGCTGCTTTTAGTAGCTATTCTTAACACATCCTCTTCTATGCTCTGGTTTCACTATGTCGAATCTTGCACCTACCGCTATTTAAATGCCTGCATTTCCAGCTAGCTAGTGAGCCTTTGGAGGGCAGGAAGTTGGCCTTACTCATCTCTGTGTCCCCAGTCACTATCCTATTCCCTGCAGAATGGGAAGTCGGTGATGGGCATTGAATAAATGAGGGAGGGAAGGACCCAGGGACCTCCATGGTGTCCCAGCCTTCCCTGAACTGCTTCATAGCTTTCCAAGTCACCTCACCCCTCCTCCATCAATTTCTCCTTTGGAACATGCAGGGCTTGGACAAAATGAGCTTGTTGATTCCTTCCACCCCAAAATGTCTTAGACTCTGGGGTTAGAGGTGAGGGTGGAGCTTTTCCCTGGAGAAAAGATGTGAGATGTGGGTAAAATGGGAAGGCTCTATTGGAATGCACACCAGTTATGGGCCCCTGAGATTGAAAGTGTCCCCAGTAACTCATGGTCAGCCATGACCTGTGCCTCATGTGGTGACCAGGCTGCCATGTGTAGTCTGAGTAGTTTCCATGCAGAAAGTGGTAGAGCTCAGGCCCGTTCTGCCCTCCCCAGAAAGCCGTGTTATTAGAAGCCATAGGAGAGACTGTGGTGTCTCGGAAATCTCATGAGTTTTCCTGTGGTACTTAAGGTCTGTCCCCTGCTATGGGAGTCCAGGACTCCAGAAGCCAGTTAAGGTGCTTGGTAGCTAAGGGTCCCTGGCCAACATCCAGGCCTCTCCCTTGCCATCTTATCCTCAAGAGGCCATCATGAGGATTTGGCTTCAAGAACCACTATCCTTGAGTTCCCTAGGAGCTGCAGAATGTATGGTATGCAGGGCTTAGGGTCTCCAGATAAAATAGATGCAGGGTGTCTAAATAAATTCGAATTTCAGATAAATAATTTTTTCGAATAATTATGTTCTATCTGGACCCTACTTGGGACATATTTGTACTAAAAATTTATTTATCTGAAATTCAAATTTAACTGGGAATCTGGTACTTTTCTTTGCAAGAGTAAATTTGTTCTCGCTATTCCTCACCATCACCTTCAGAGAGGAAGCTCGGTGGTCTGGTAACATCATGCTGTAAGAAGGGGATCCTTTGAATTATAAATGGCACTCTGATAAGGTAGGCATGGGGATCCTACTGGTTTCCTGTTGCTGCTGTAACAAATTGCCACAACTTAGTGACTTTGAACAACACAGAAAGATGCATTATCTTATGGTTCTGGAGGTCACAAGTCTAAAAGTTAGGGCATCAGCAGGACTGCATTCTTTTCTGGGGAGTTCTAGAGGAAAATCCATTTTCCTGCCTCCTTGAGCCTCTGGAGTCACTCCACATTCCGCGGCTAGTGGTCTCCTTCCATTTCCAAGGCCAGTAGGGGTATATCAAGTCATTCTCAAATCACATGACTGTTTCTTCTGCCTCCCTCTTCCACATTTAAGGGACCCTCGTGATTACACAGGGGCCCACCTAGAAAAGCCACAATAATCTCCTTATTTTAAAATCAGCTAAATAGTGGCTTTAATCTTAATTCCTGTCACCATGTAACATAAGGTATTCCCAGGTTCTGTGGGTTAGGACGTGGTGTCTTTCCTACCACAGGGCAGTTTCTAGTGTTGCCTCTGCTCCCTACAGTTTGCTCATGGAGTCCCGGACCTGGCACTGAAGGACATCGCCTGTAGTGAGGCCCTCCTGGAGCACTTCATCATCTTCAGCCAGCGACGGGGAGCACAGACTGTGCGCTACGCCCTGTGCTCCCTCTCCCAGGGCACCCTACAGTGGATAGAAGACACGCTGTATGCCAATGTGGACTTCTTCAAACTCTTCCACGTGGTAAGGGAGGGTCTTGACTGCTTGCCCATTGGAGGGTGATTCCAGGGGCAGCAGAGCCTCACAAATTGACCTTGGGGAGAACGTGAGCCTGGTGTTCCAGACAATCCTTGCAGAAACTCCAGACTCCCATGGCTCAATCACAATTGATAGTATTTCTAAAACAGTGGCCCAGTGGCCCAGAAGTCACTGTGAGGTTCCCCATTAGATATGTGGCTGTGGCATGTTTGTGCCCATTCCAAATGTAGGGAAGTCCCCTTCACCTCCTCTAGCAGAGTGACAAAGGAAGGAGGCCTGGTTTGACTCCCTGCCCTGCCATTTCCTAGCCAGGTGATTGTGCTAAGATATTTAACCTTTTCTGGTCCAAGTACTCATCTATAAAACAAATATAATACTTTATAGAGTGATAGGAACGATACAAAAAAAAGTTTATACAAAACATTTCATACATTTTAATAAACGAAGGCCCCATGCCCCTTCCTCTGGAACTGGTCTCAACCTCAAAGGTTGATGTTTCTAGAGAGAAAAAATGAGAGTCGTCTCAAAATTTGGAAAGCCCTGATCTAGCTCAACCCTCTGTTCCAGAACTGCATCCCAGACAGACTGCTTGGGACCTGATAATATCTCCTCCTTTTCCAGAAGGATAAGATGAGAAGGAATTAGATAAAGGAGTTGCAGAGCAGAGGTTCTCACACTGCAAAGTGCATAAAAACCATTAGATAAGTTGGTAAAAGATGCAAGTTCTAAACCCCCACTCCCAATCACTCTGATTCAGAAGAACCAGGTCAGCCCAGAATCTATCCTGTTACATTAGGTGATTCTAATAAAGAACATCGTAGGCCATACTTTCAGAAACACTCAAAATTAGAATCCTTCAGAGAAGGTGGCATAGATAATATTTCTAGCATGGAATTAGGTTTTTTTCTGTTGCCTACATTTTAATTTCTAGAACTGTGTTGTAGGGAATGTCATCACTAATAACTTGACTGAGGAATCACGTTCCGTTTTATGACTGCTCTCTCTCAAGTCCCAGCAAACCCACCCTCAGCTTGTCTTTAAAAGCAAGCCAAAGGTTTTTTAAAATGAAGCAAAATAAAACAAGACCCTGCAGTTTCTGGCAGAGTCCACGCTTAATCCCTTTCAATGTATGACTTTCCTTGGAAAGTTACTCTGCAATTTTCCCAGCTCGTCTGGGTGGAGCCCCAGAGTGAGTATGAAGGGTCAGGGCCTAGGGATGCCACCATCAGTGAGAGCCAGGACTCCGAAAAGGTCTCTTGGCTCCCCACACTGTAGGAAGAATAAGAAGCCATGTAGTCCAAGTGTCTCTATCCAAAGTTTCAAAAAGAACCTGATTTTAGACACGCTCCTGACTTGTTTTCAGAATCAGACAAAAGAGGGAGACAACAAAGGTCCCTTATTCCAGGCCGCTGAATACCAGCACAGCGAGGAGTCCAATGCTCATATTTGCAGAGTTGCAGGCCTGCGTGCTCTGCAGAATGGGCAGAAGGAACGAAGTGCACCTGGGCTTTTGCAGGCAGGGCCCAGGTGCCCAGGTTCGTGCCATCCTCTTGTCACTGTGAAGGGAGCAGGGTCATCCTTCTATTCTTGAAGCACTTTGGCCAGCAGTATAGGTAAATTTATCTCCCAGGGCATGAACATTGATTCTGAGATGTCAGTCCCAGAGATAGCAGGGTAAATGGGCACCTGGGTAAAACTTTCCATCGGAGACTGGAACCAAAACTCAGGACACTGGCTTCCAAATGTTTATCAGAAAGTCTTTACTTATGCCTTCTCACACTGCCTTGGCAAATGCTAGCATTCAGAAACCCTGGGCTACCTTGACCATCACCCTTGCAGACCTCAGCTGGATTCTGGAGGCTTCCTTTCTCGAGGCACTCAAACCTGTGTCGGGCACCTGTGAAGGGCCGGGCATTGTGCTGAGGCCAAGGCTCCAGCTGTGAACCTTCCACCCTCACCAAACTCACAGCCAGACCAGAGACAAGCAAACAGGACATTTCCCAGCAGTGCCACTTAGAAAGACCAATACCAGCAGCATTTGTCCCCCCAGAACAGTAGTGTTTAAAAGCTTCCCCAGTGACTCAGTCTGTCCTGCAAATGCCTGGCCCCCCACTCCCAGAGGCCTTGAATTCACTGTTTTAAAAAGCTTTCCAGATAAATCCAATGTCCAGCCAAGGTTGAGAATCACTGACCTAGAACATAGAGTTTGATTTACAACCTCAATTTCTATAGACCATGCATAATAATAATAGTACCCCACACGCCTCTGATGCTCCAAAGAACTTTCATTTGATTACCCATGACACAACGGTGGTGTGGAGATGCTTTCTCTCCTGTTCTCTTAACAAAGCTAGTAAGCCACAGAGCCTGCAGTGGACCCGAGACTGCTGGGAGGAGAAAGCCCTGGTGGGAGCCAGCTCAGCCTCAGAGCACCACCCCTACCTGCTCTCCCCTCACTCCTGCTTCTGTCTCTGTGGGGGAAGACCCAACCGAAGCAGGACATATCTAGTCTTCTGGTGTCTTTAAAATGTACTTTTCCATTTGAAAAATGGATTACACTAAAAAAAATTTAAATTTACCAAAAAAAAACCTGAAAGAAATTGCAGGCATTAAAATGGGACTTTGCCTTTATTGCTCCTGGGCCCATTCTATTTGTGTTTTTAGAAAAACAAGCCTGAGGCAGGCCCAGAAAGGCTCAGGGCAGACCCTCTGGCCCTCTGAGAGGAGCATCAGGCAGGCAGGGGCTGCTCTGGGAGGGGGAAGGGGCCCCATGGGGACGAGGCTGTTATTGCAGCTGGTTGGCCCGCAGCTACACTTAGATGCAGTGCCGGAATGCTGGGCCTTCTGTTCTGGGCTATTTCTCATACGCACGTAAATAACGTTTTATTAAATGCCAAATGAGTTTTCATTAGCAAAGAAAGAGAGAAAATCTCAGTAAACCACTGTGATGGCACCTGCCCCTTCTGAGTAAAGAGCTGGGGGTGTGGGTGCAATCTCGAGACACGGGAACCTGTGGAGCCCAGAGAATCGGAAGGAGGGGCACTGGGGTTAGCACCGACTGAGACCAGCTGTGTTTTTTCTCGGTTCCTTGGATATCAGAAGTGAGTGTTGTCATCTTCAAACAATCCAAAGGCAGTACCCATGGCCTTACTCCGTCCCTCCCACACCATCCCACCCATCCCCGAATATACTCACACGCTCATTTTCACACTATTGCCATGCTCACTTGCAAGTATGCACACACAGATTGGTGACCTAGGTGGGCTGGGAGAGAAACAAGAGCCAAGTGACTGGATTTTCTCCAAGGAAACTTATTAATAGCCCCTCTTGGTTTCACCTGAAGGAGCTTGTCTTCACCTGCGGCCTTTACAGGCTTAAACACCTCAGGCTTGAAACCCAGAAGCTCAGATCTGGGCTCAAGGTATTATTAGTGCCAACACTACCTAAAATGTTTTGCACCTCATAAAAAATGGTGTGTCAGTTTCGGGTGAGAGGTTGGGATGCTTCCTATCTGATTTGGCCCAAGGCATGCATGCCCCTCCTCCTCCTCCCACTCTTCCCCCTCCTCCCCTTCTTCCCCCTCTTCCCCCTACCATCCTTCCTGTTTTCTCTCCAACTCTGGCGCACGGCTTTGAAATCTTGCTGAGAAGCAAATCTGTCCCTTTTGCTTTGAATGTTTATTTGTGGAAGTTCAGCAGGGGAACCGAGGTGGGTGCCAAGACCTGCCATGCTGCTGGGAAGTCTGAGTTTCCCTCCCTTCCCCCACAAAATGCATTTTGATAGAGAAAATTCGGCCTCCTCGGCATTTGGGCTCACGGTTTTCCCCTTTGAAAATGCTTCCAGTGTGGTATGATTTAGCTTTCTTTTCTATCCCCCAACCACAGCTCTGTTGCCGTTTTTACTTTTCCGATTGCATTTTATCCATGTTTCTTTGACTACGGGGTGGCTGGGCATTGAGTTCATTGAGTTCCAGGGAGAAAAGGGCCCAGACTTGGGGTTCCAACTACATGCGCCTATCAATGTCCTGCTTGGTTCTTGGCTCTGCTCCCTGAATTCCTGAGTCACTGGGGAGAGGCGTGGGTGGACTGCCCCCTGCCCAGTGAGAGCCACCACAGTTCCTGCTCTCCCGGATCATTGGCTGCAGTTTGTTAAATTTCAACTATGCATTCCAGTTTTCAGATGGATATTGCTGCATCAAGTGTCCGGGAAAGCCCCCACATCTACAGGATTTTACAGTGAGGTCCCACTAATTAATGACTTGATTTCATGACTTCCTCTTTCTTCCTGATTTCTCCCACTTTTCCGTGGGGGTTATGGGAGGGGAGAAGAAAAAGGAGGGATGCCCGAGTGCCAATTCCAGGGAACAGCAGGGCTGTTGGGAGGGAACAAAACAGAAAGGTTTTTTTTGGTTTGTTTTTTGGGGGGTTTATGAAAATACTCAAGCCACAGCAAGTATATTTGACTTACAGCATTAGTATATTTTTCTGCCTGCATCTACAAAAACCTGTACCTATTACAATCAAAATATCCTCTGGGTGAATGGATTTCAACAAAGAAGAAATAAAAATGAAGTAGAAGAGAGGCCCCTTCATGCACATTGAGCCTACTGGCTCAATTGTCACTTGCCTGCCTTGATGTCTTTTCAGCTCCAGGCAGGCAGTAGGCCAGGGCTTATTTTCATGACAGATCAGATGTTGCTTTTATGGATTTACAAAGAAAGAAATACTGAAAGGTCAAAACTGAAGTCACTTAGGACAAGAGCAGGCCCCTAGGAAGGCTGCCATTCCTTAGGATAATGAGTCCTGGGGTCCTGGCCTTTGTTCAGTAAATACGCGTTGGACACCTACAATGTGTGCACCAATGTGTGAGGAGTCAGGTTCTCTCCAGGGTCAGTTAGTTTTAGGAAGGGTTTTGGCTTTGGATATGTTTTATTTCTACAGAATGGTAGCTATTAACCTTTCTTATGGATTAGGATTACCTTCAAGAATCTGACTACAGCTCTAGGCCTATTCCCTAGAGAAACTTAAATTCACACAGACATACAGGGTGGGGTTCATGGAGCAGCTGAAGCTAGACCCCAAGTTAATAGCCTTCACATTAAAATTTTTATCTTCCTACCACTAATATGTGTCCTTTACTAAGAGGTCTTAATAGACACAGATTCTTTCTTAACTCTGTTTATGAAGTAATCAGTATCCTCCCTGCCCCTGATGTTCAGGATCCAATGGCGTGAGGACCACAGGCCTGGGCAGTCACTGGGGCACACAGGCATCTCTTAGTGGCTAAGAGACTGGACCCCAGCTCTACGTTGGCTCCTAACTTGCTGCCATTGAAAGGAAATCTCAGCCTCCCCATCTGTAAAATTGAGAAAATAAGACTTGTTCTACATATCTCATGGAATAGTAGTAAAATGTACATTAGAGAAGAGATAGAAAAACGCTTTGAACAAAAGCATTCTGCTCTTACCAAAGCAAGAACACAGCCTCTTTTGAGATGCCTTTTGCTCCTCATTTCTCCTTCAGACCCCCCCAGACTAGGAGGAGGTCTGTCTCACAGAGTGACCTTTTGGCTGCCCCTAGATTCCAAGCTCAGTTTTGCTTTCATTAACCACAGATACTGGGACAGACAGAAAAAGACCTAGTTTCTGTTGAGCCAAAGAGAGTCCCATAACTTGTCTGTTCACATACCCAAGAGCCCACCCTCTAGTTCAGACACTCAGTTCCCTCCCGTTCTGGGAGACAGCATGTCTCTGTGACCTCCTGGTAGAGACAGTTTGGCAAGTACCTCCACCCCCTCAGTGACTGAGTCTGAATTCTCCCCTCATGACGCATTTCCTAGCACTCAGGGTGTCCCCCCCCGCCCCGGTTGCCCCCTCACCACTGAAGCTGGCTTCCTCCCTTTTCATTTGATGCTTAACAACTGTCAGGTTGCAAGAAACATGCTTCAAATCCACATTCTCCCAGTTGCCTAGCAACAACTTCCCTCCCGGATAAATGTGGGTTTCCTGTCGCTCAGCCCAGGACTGAACACAGCAGCAGAAACTTCTGTCCACTGCTTCAACTGCTTTTCATCTCTCCTCTGTGTGCCTTCAAGACAGTAGCTCATCCCTCCCTTCAGAGCCTTCTGGCTCAAGACGCCATGTCTGTCCCCCAGAGACACGTTTAACCGGAGGCTACTTATTTACCCTTGTGTTAGGTATATCTTCAACTTAGAAATTAATACTGTTTCCAGATGGTCTTCTTTGAATCACAGAAAATAAAACAACCAAACATTCAACACCTAAGATGTTTCATGTGCTGGTAGAGTGACACCTGTTTCATTAACACATTTGATCCAAAGCACCGGAAATACAAGACCTTTTAGGAGATATGTTCTGTTCTACCTTAAGAAAAAAATATTACATAGCCCCAAAGGAGAGACATGGTTTTGATCCCTAACAACCCAAACAGAGGCCTTTTAGGGCCGGAATCTTCTTGCCTGCTGCCTAGGACCTTGTATCAATTTCTTAAGCACAGGATTAAGGCTTAAGGGCCCCTTAGACCAATCTCAGTTAATAGAGACAGATCCCTTCACAGCCTTATCTGTGTATCCAATCTTCCTTAAGAGGTCTAGTCTGACCTTGAACTTGGGTTGGCAGCACTTAGTTGTGTTGTGTGATATGGAAGAGTTATGTGTTACTTGAGAAATTAAGAGAACTTGTTTGGCATAGGAAACGTGTGTGTGTGTGATGATGTTTGCCATTTTGATATGTTACCTTTTTTCCAGAAATATTTTCACAGTTCCATTACAAGTAAATTTGCAGTCTCTTCCAGTTCCTTGGCAGAAACAATTCAAGTGAATTTGAATAGATAGTGGGGAAGGGGGAACCAAAAGAAGAGAGCCTTGGGAAAGTTATTTATAATGTATGGCAACCTCAGTCAGGCAATTTCGAACAGGTACACATGGAGGGCTCCCTTGGGATCAGACAGTGTTCAGAGATATAAGGTGTGAGGGCCAGACCGTCATCATTTACCACTCCCACTAAAAAGAGCTGGGAAGGAAATTGCAGCTGTAGCGCCAGGCACATAGCTGGAGCTTAGTAACTATTTGGTGAATGAATATTACTAAATTGTTAACAAGACGAAGAAAGTATTAACCACACAGAAATGCATCTCAAGCTATTGTTTCTCTGTTCCCTTTCCCCTAAATTCCTGGTCTTGCTCTTGTCTGGCTATCTCTCTAGTCACTCCCTCTTGCTGACTCTCCTCACGTTCCTTTCTCCACCTGGAATTCCTGGGCCCTCCCCTTCTACTCATAGACACCGTCCTCACTCTCATAGTCATCAAGTTGTCTGTTTACAAACTTCAGCTCAAGTGTCACTTCCCCATCCCCAGATGAAACTGACTGCTCCCTCCCTGTAATTCTCCCTGATGCCTGGTAAATACTTCCCTCAAGGAAACTAAAACCTTATTAGACACTGTCTCTTTCCTACTCTGTTATAGTTTATTTACTCATTAATTACCACAATACATATTATTGAGTACCTACTGTGTACTATGCCCTGAAGATAAAAGACAAAGAAAACCTATTTCTATGCTTAATGAGCTTACAGTCTAGTGGAGAGATAGATACATTAAAAAATAACAGCAAACTAAAATAAAAGTGATAAATACACTGAGAAGGACAGGAATAGCTAGGAGGGGCATCTGACCCATGAGGAAGGAAAGCTGGAAGAGTATGGTGATGGGGGAAGAAGGCTTTCTAGAGAAGGTAAGGTGGTTTCAAATGAGTTGACTCTGGTCTGTAGGGGTAAAGTGAGAATGGGGTAAATGGGGTTGGTTGGTCATTTTGATCTGTTAGTCCCAAAGTGATAGGATTAGTGGCTAAGGACTGCAGGCTTTATAGAAGCCTACAAAAATATTTGAGATTTGAAGTTTAAAAAAAATGACTCCAAAGAAAAAGAAAAAACTTTAGAATTATAATGAATGAATATTAAATGAATGTTTAAGAAGGTAATGCTATTCAACTTCATTGTTAAATTTAGTTATAACAGGCCCTTGAGTTTCATTCAACACTGTTTCATCATAACATTGATGAGAGAAACAAAGCTGATTCCTGGCTGAGGCCACTGTCAGCGTGGGGTTTACACATCCTCCTCATGTCTGCTTGGGTTAGCTCCAGGTACTCCTGTTGCCCCCACATCCCAAAGATAGTCCCAACATGAGTCAGTGTGGGTGTGGCAGTGAGTGTCCCTGCCATGGGATGGCGTCCTGTCCAGGTTAGATCCCCACCTTGTGCCCTGAGCTGCTGGGATGGGATCCAGCCACCCATGACTCTGAATTGAACTAATTGGGTAAACAATTATCTTACTTTTTAAGCAATCTTTTAAAATGTATGTATAGTTTACATTTATTTCAGTGTTTAATATTAGAAATATTTTAGTCTTTATTTTGAGGTTTGGTGATTTATTTTAACTAGAAACAAGCCATAGAAACTTAATTTTGGGCCAAGTGTGGTGGCTCACACCAGTAATCTCAACATTTTAGGAGGCCGAGGCAGATGGATCACTTGAGCTCCAGAGTTTGAGACCAGCCTGGTCAACATGGAGAAACCCTGTCTCTACTAAAAATACAAAAATTAGCTGGGTGTGGTGGTGCACGCCTATATATAGTCCAAGCTACTTGGGAGGCTGAGGCAGGAGAATCACTTGAAGCCAGGAGGCAGAGCAGTGAGCAGAGATCGCACCACTGCACTCCAGCCTGGGCAACAGGGAAAGATTTCATCTCAAAGAAAAAGAAAAGAAAAGAAATTTAATTCTAGTTTATATTAATTAGCCTGTGGTAAAATTGGTTTCATTATTGCCATTTCACTTAGTCGCAGTTTCCAATAACTTATCGATGAATTAAGTGAGGACTTACTGTATTCATAAAATGTTAAATTCCAAGGCTTGTGTACAGTTCAGGTTTTTCCACTTTACAAACATTTTTAAGTATTCACAATGATTGCTGAAAAATTATACCAGATAATTCATTAAATAAGTTGTTCAAAGTCAAATAATTTCAAAAGTAAAAATTAAGAGCTTTAAAAATAGTATACCTATGTAGACATAGACCTACAGATAGAGAGACAGATGAATAGATATGGACACAGAGGCTTTCCAGTGTGTTCATGTGATGTGGGATGGAGTTTCAAGATCAGAGTGTGCCTGGGGCCTATGGAAGTAAAGGAGAGGGGATGGAGAGAAGATTGTCCACCTGGCCATGCGCAATCTCCCACCCACTGTCAAGTGAGGAAGCCAGACACCAAATTCAGAAAAAGAGGAAATAATCCAAACTAATGGGAACTTGTGACTGATTTACTTATGCCCAGTCTCCCTGGAAATATAAATATAACTATTCCTTAGTTTGTGCCTCTGGGCTCCTAGCCCCTCTTAGGTGCCTTCCTATTATCT